CATAGAAATAAAACAAGGAGACAATCTAAGAGTTGTAATTATAGAAAGGAAGACAGAAATGATATCTGTAGGTACAAATAGCTTACTACAAACATTCTTTTTTTTTAAAAAAAAAAAAAAAAGCTTTTTTTTTCTTTTTTTATACCTTTATTTTATTAATTTATTTGTATGTATTGCTGAGGATCCATCCCAGGGTCTCGCATGCACAAGGCGAGAGCTCTACCGCTGAGCCACAACCGCACCCTACAAACATATTCTTTAAAGAATATTTATTATGACATTTTCTTGTCTCATAAGGTCATTTTAAAGATTAAATAAATTAATATACTTAAAGTCTTAGAAGAGTGCCTGGCACTTAGTAAGCACTCAATCAACGAGTATAAGCTATTCCATTACCTTTATATTAGCAGCAAAATCTCACAAGAAGAGACCTCTCTGGATAGCTACTCATAAAAACTTCATATCTCCATTCTCCCAACATTGTACAATTGTTTCACATTAAAAAGCAATAAACTATTAGGCAGAAAACTTTAAAATGCAGTAATACTTTTCTCCAAAGAATAAAATGAATCAAACCTAATAGAAAATGCTACCTATAGTCAAAAAATAAAGTCTTAATAAAAATAAAATTTGTATGAGTTTGGTTCAGTTTCTTTTGACACATAAAAAAGAAAAATTATATAAATCTTAAGTCTATGGCTCAGTGAATCTTCAAAGCAAAGACATTTTTGTAACCACTCCCCATCCCGAGATACACAGTATCACCAGAGTCTCAGGGGTTCTGTCAGGAGTCCTGGAGGCAATACTCCCCAGAGGTAACTTGTTCCCACTTTGATCATCACAGACTGGCTATTCCTGCCTTGAACTTCATCATGAATGGAATTACATGATATGTTCTCTCTTGTGTCTCAGTCGTTTATGCTGATGCATTGCTATGCAGTATTCCACTGTATGAATGTCACAATCTCTCCTGATGATGGAAGGTTGGGTTCTTTCATTCGGAGTTTTATTAAAACCCTCTGAACATGTTTTAGTGATCATATGCATATTATGTTAGGAAAATATCAAATTCCATCACATTAGGAAAAATGAATTTAATTACCAAGCCTATTGGATACAATATCAAAACATAAATGCCAATTGTATTCTAAATATTGGCAAACAAGGAAAAACTAAAATTTAAAAAATAATATTTATAAAAACATTTAAAAAAAAAAGAGGTTGGGGTTATAGCTCAGTAGTAGAGCACTTGCCTAGTATGTGTGAGGCACTGGGTTCAATTCTCAGCACTACATAAAAATAAATGAATGAATGAATGAATGAATGAATGAATGAATAAATAAATAAATAAATAAATGGGCGGTATTGTGTCCCTCTACAACTAAAAAAAAAAATTTAGAAAAAAAAAACAAATATTTAGAAATAATTTTAGGTAGATATGTAGAATCTCTACATGACAAGCTTCAAAACATTGTTGAGACACATTAAAGAAAACCTAAATCAACAAAGGACTGGCCATTCTAGGTTACACCTAGAATGTTAAGATTCTCACAAAATTCAGTGAAATTTCAATCAATTTCATCTGAAATAAAACTTTAGAAAACTTCAGAAATAGATTCTCAGCAGTGTTATTTCTCATACACACAAGATATATAACTGCCATTGATTAAAAAAAAAAGAACTGATAAGAAAAACTGGTTAAAATTAATAGGCATAATCCTATTTATAAATGAGAAATCAAGAATTAAACAGAATATAACTTGCCCACAAGTTTATGATTACAAAAAGACCCAAACTCAGGTCTCAACTACAACTATGTCTTTCCATACCACACTGCCTTTCCAACTTTCTCTACCTAACCTCGGCTCCTTTCTTTTTTTTTTTTTTTAATATTTTTTTTTAGTTGTTGATGGACCCTTTATTTATTTATTTATTTATTTATTTATATGGGGTGCTGAGAATCGAACCCAGTGCCTCATGCATGCTGGATAAGCACTCTACCGCTGAGCTACAATCCCAGCCCAACCTAGGCTCCTTTCTGAAAGCAAAATGGCCTGGAACCAGAAGTCTTCATGACAGAAACTCAGAAAGCATGGATAAAGAGCAAGGCCTGGAGTGGGCAGGGATGCTCGAGCAGCAACCCAAGGCTGGAAACCAAAAGTTATGACTGACCTTCTGTTACACAATGACACGACTTCTCGGGGATTCCCTGAGCATTAGGCTTGACTTACAAATAATAATTTTTCTATTTTCTTCATTTCTTTTAGATATGCTAACTGGAATTCTGCTGTAAAGAACTTCCCCTCTTTTCCATTTATTTATTTACTTCAGTAATAACTCATGGATTTTTATTTCATTCTTTCAGTTATGATCCATTATTATATAATCATTTATTCTGTGGCTCAAATTGTCCTAGACTTGATCACCGAGAATTTCTTCAAACCAGTTCCTATGGTTCTTTTGATATGTTTTATTTTTTGAGCACTTTACTCAAAGCTGCACACTTTTTTTTTCTTTTTTATATTTTTAGTTGTAGATGGACACAATATCTTTATTTTTATTTATTTATTTTTATGTGGTGCTAAGGATCAAACCCAGTGCCTCACCATGTGACAGGCAAGTACTTGACCACTGAGCCACAAGCCCAGGCCAAAGCTGGACACTCTTATTCTTACACATTCTATTTTGGGTGACAGGTTTTCCTGGCACTCAAATATGCTATTAACCACACTGAGTTGGACTCAATAAAAATTCCCCATTGGCATCATATTTTTTACTGTCAAAGTCACGTTCCTCCTGTCCTATACTTGTATTGTTGATTTCTGTAACTGGAATACAGAACTGTACATTCCTTTTAAATTTCTTCATGATACATTTGGTCCACTGATTAAGCTCATGACATAAATATCACAGTCATTTCAGTTTCAAGACACTAGCAAAGTCACAGATTGTCTCTGTGTCTTTATATAAATCACTAATTCAAATATTCAACAGGTGAAGCCCTAAGATGCAACTCCATGRCAAGCATTCATGCAGGCATTCACTGAGTTCATTATGTTAAAGCAACATTCTAGTCGCTGGGAAGAGAAAGTCAAATACACTACCTCTCATGCCCAGAGGAAGCTTATCTGGTAAGGAAGACAAACATACTGACAAAGCATGATGCAGGTTGAGTAGCCTTTACTCAAAGCGTTTTGGATTTTGTATTTTTCCAGGTTTGGGAATATATATCTGGGAATAATTTTGTGTAAAAAACAAAGTCCCAAGGTATACAATGCACTTGTGACATCATGTCGGCATTTAAGTTTTTCAGATTCTGAAGCATTTCAGATTTTGGACTTCTGGATTAGAGATGCTCAACCTGTWTAATGAATAATAGAAGTAAGCACCAAAAATCTACCTATTCTAAACTTATTTGGGTGATATTCAGGAGAATGTGTTAGGGTCATCAAGGAAGAAATGAAGATTTTCCGAAAGGCTGGCATTTGGGTTGTATTTTGAAAGTAAATAGAAGTAAACTGAATGAAAAGGAAGGGAGAAGAATGTCAGGCAGTGAAGAACAGAATTTGGAGTCAGAACATCATAGTAGTTAAAAACAAATTCCCAGAGTAATCAGACCTGTTTAAAATCTATGTTCTTCCATCTGCCTAGCCTCAGACAAACTGTCACTTCAGCTGTCTAAAATTTAACCCCAACAACCTATAGGAAGAGCATGTGTAGGAACAGGGAAAAAACCCTAGAACCACCAAATCCTCACACAAACTGGAGCACCATGTTTAATGCTTACTGCACTGCTCACTGATGGGTAGAACAGATAGAGATGTACTGAAATGTACCAAATAAAAACTTCTGTAGAAATGCTACAGGATGGTGAACAACAAGACCAAAGCAATAGCTAGACAAAATTAATGTGTTTATTCAAAGTAAAAGTATCAGGCTGACAGCTAGAAAAAGGAGACTTTACACAGAAAAAAGAGGTTATTTTTATACAGTATGGATAAATTAATGACCATTTAATATGTCTGCTAGCATTGGATATTAAAGGCCTGTATGTGGGCTGGGGATGTGGCTCAAGCGGTAGYRCGCTCGYCTGGCATGCGTGCGGCCCGGGTTCGATCCTCAGCACCACATACMAACAAAGATGTTGTGTCCGCCGATAACTAAAAAATAAATATTAAAATTCTCTCTCTCTCTCACTCTTTCTTTAAAAAAAAAATGCAATAGGTGGTATCGTCTCACCTTCCCCGCCATTAAAAAAAAAAATAAAATAAATAAAGGCCTGTATGTAATTGAGTGTTATCAATTGGGAACATAGGCACTGGTGAAAATATAACTCAACTGTAGTGGCAAAATACAGAAAAGTTATAAGACAAGGAGAAAAGTTCTAAAAAGAAGAATTGGAATAGTAAGTTGTTTTCCTTAATGGTAACTAGTTAAAAATTGTAATAAAATTAAAATTTATTAAACTTACTACAAGATTGTATTCTTGAAATTCCATTTCCAGCTCCATGCAAGCTTGAGTCAAAACTCTGACTGTTCCGCACGGTGACTGGAGAACTAACATTGCTACTAATAGCAGTAGTACTTGGCATCCGGGCTAGATTAGGCATACTTCTTCGGAGCTTATCTGGAAGAGAAAAGAATTTTACTAATTTTAAAATAACAAATTTCAGGGTTGTAGCTGTAGCTCAGTGGCAGAGCACTTGCCTAGCATGTGTAAGGCACTGGATTGGATCCTTAGCACCATATAAAAATAAAAGAAAGTCATTCTGTTCATCTACAACTACAAAACAAAATTTTTWAAAAAATAACAAAYTCCATGTCAACTAAAACACTTGTTTTCAAAAGTAAGTAAAAACATATTTGCTCAACAACAAAAAGTATCATGTGCATATGAACAACCTAACAGAGAATTAACCTCTTCTATCGGAAAACATACTCTTCAACCAGAAGAATTTCACCTAATCGCTTGTTATTAAAAGAAAGTATGTGTCCTATAAAAAGAGATGGCACCTATCTAATCAGATACTACCTGTTTGTTCCTACTCAATAAGTGGATGAAATTATGTCAAATAATGTTTGAAAACAATATTACAGCTATTTAATTTTTTTAAAAWGTAGACATTACAAACTTATTTTAAAACCTAGGAGAGTCAAAACTAACACTTGCCAAGTTTTTTGCCAACATATCAAAATGGAACAAATTAGTGAAATTTCAACATGAGATGTCTTTAGATATCCACTCATCGCACAAACAGGACCATGTGAACTTCTGAGAATGCTAACTCTCTTTAGTGCACCAAGGAACGATTGCAAAGACCAAGAGAAAGCTTGGATCTCTTTCTCCTTGCCGTGTGTGTCTTTGGCCACTAGGAGGCAGCAGAGTCACACACAGATCTCAACCTGGTTCAGTTTGAAGTAAGCAGTAGCACCAATTTAGAAGGCAGTTTTTTCTTTATTAATATGCAACCCCACTGCCCAAGACTACAGTGCCTGTATCAGGTCACTCAAGCTCACAAAACAAACAGTATATATGAACTCTAAGCCAAACCCTGTTCAAGTACAGAACTAGATTCATTTCTTTCTTCCCGTCACACATTTTCTTCTACATTACTAAGAGTTTCCCAAAATGCATCTTTTCTCTCCACCCTAGACTTCAAGTCCTGTTAATTATGCCTAACATTTAGTGAACTTTTCCAATGCCAGTGGCTCATTTATCACATCATTTATCATCTACATTTTCATAAAGTCCTCTTAATTGGTCTCCATGCCCCTCGCCTTGTTCCCCCAGTCTGTAGCCAGTTCCACTCTTCTGCAACACAAGCACACACCTGGCTCTGCCCCTAATTCAAATTCCTCTGACTCCCATTCTTTTTTCACTTCCACCTAAGATCTCTGGCTCCTGAGCATGGCCTTTTGCACAAGACCATCAGGGTAGAGGCTCTCTGTACGTCATCAGCCCATCCAGTGACCCCAACCCACCACTCAGCCAGCTCCCAACCACAGGAGGGCACTCTGGTAGTGTGAGCACGATGGTCCCTCCAGTCCACCCTTCCCCATTCTGTGGAAAGGAGCAAACAAGGGAAGGAATATTTATTGTGCACATACTAAATGCAAGGCCTTCTAAGATGTTTGGGATACCACAATACATAAAACAGACACAGGCCCCAGTTCTCATTGAGTTTGTAGTCTAAACTGGATTTTCCTCAGCATTTTTTCCATTATTGATGCTAAGGGGGAAAAAACCAAAACCTAAAGAAAATTGAAATTTAAAATTAACCTTAGTTTCTTCCAATTGAAATAAGTTAAATATTAAATGGATAACATTAGAAAGGTACAGTTAAACTTTTGGAAGATCACAAACCATTGTAATACTTTTTTTTTTCCTTACTTAAATTCTACAAGATATCTTTATTAATAAATATCCCAAAATWCTTAAGTGCACATATCAGGACATCCAAGCTGAGGCTCATTTTCTTTCAAGCTAAATCAGAAAACCAATGATAAGCTTGAATCCTAAACCAAATGCGTTCAAGGACAAGCCAGACTCATCTCCTCTTCCTCCAGCTGCACACCCTGCTCCCTCTAAATTACTTAGACTCATCAACTCTGACTTTGTCCAGTAACTTTCACCCCCGTGGGGTAGTGTAGGGAACAGACAAGGATTATTAGCATTCTCATACCATAAGTACAATAAAGTATAATAAGAATATTTAGTGCTATGACAGAAAACCATAAAAATGTTTTACTCAATTTGCTAACTCTCACAAATACTTAAATAATTAGCATAATTATCCCCCCTCACAGGAGCTCAGACACCTCCTAGCTGAGGTATCCATGACTTACACATTCCCTCACTCTCCATGCTTATTTCTAAATAACACTCAGATACTGCACTGACTGCTAATTTCTTGGTAATTTTCCTCATTATACTATTTTTTTTCTTATATCCTCAGGAATCCTTCCCAAATAGGGGTCATCCCAAGACCCCTAGTTAATGTCCAAACTAGACCACAGTACCAAAACACATAAATACCAAACTTCTTTCTCCTGAACACGTACACCTATGACAAAGTTTAATATAAAAATTAAGTTATTTGTAATCCTTACTATACATAAGAATATACTATAAGAACATCATTTAAAAGTTATAAATTATTTAATTCTGAGAGTTTCCATTTGAGATTTTCTGACCACAGTTGACTGTGAGTAAAACAAACTACAAAAAGCTAGGCCTTAATGGGGGTCGGGGGGACAGGACCTCCTATAACTCCTTGAGGCTCAATTTTTCATTAAAAAAAAAATGTTTTTGTGATGCTGGAGATCGAACCTAGGGCCTGGTGCACGCAAGGCAAGTGTTCTACCACTGAGCTACATCCCCAGCCATCCCTAAGGTCAATTTTTAATAATCGTTTATCTAATACCCTCATATTCCTATTAAAGCTCCTAGCCCCATTCAGCAGACATTTAATACATTCAGCAAGTATTATGCATGCATGTGCAAGTAGAAAGTATGTGGTGGAAATGAGGACTTAAAAGGGATAAATTCTTATCATCTACATCTAGGTATTTTGAAAATACCTAGATTCAAATCCCTCTGACTCCCATTCTCAAATGCAGCCATGAAGTAAGTTTCAAATGAGACTAAGTTACTTTCACTCCATATTTTTAAACAGCAAGGACAAAGAGGGAAATAATTATATGCCATTAATTAGAAAACTGAGATTCTAATTCTTAAATTTATAATTCTTTTAAAATTTCTCTCCATCTACCATAAAAGTTTTCAAATATTTAGAAATATTGAAATAGTATGATAACAAACAGTTGTATATTTTCTAGCTAGATCTACTGACTGTTTTCGCTTTGCCATATTTAATTCATCTTCACATATACATTCGTTTGCTTTAGTTAAACAATATAAAAGCTGCAGGTATCTTGACACTTTGAATGCATATGAATCTCCTAAGAATAATTCTATAGAACCACAATATTTTCATCACATACAAGCAAAATAACATCAAAACCCATATACAAAAATTTCCAAACATCTCWAGAAAGTCTTCCCTTAAAATTTCCCCCAAAACCACTATCTAGTCAATAAGGTTCACACATTATTCTTTGTTATGTCTCCAATCTTAATCCAGATGCAGTCTTCAAAACCAATCTTTACACACACTTAAGTACCAACTCAGTTTTTCAAATCTGTAATCCTGAAATATGCCCTTAAAAATAAAGCCTTCCAAATATAAAGATTAGCACACCATGCCTCTTGGAGATCCAGACTTTGCCTGAGCATTTGCAAATGAGGTTCACTTCCCTGTCAAACAACTTAGACTGTATTAATAACTACACACACTTTAAAGTTTAAGGAATCAAAAGCAATGCTCTAGTTTTTATCTTCCCAAGAAATCAAGAATTTAATCTTCAAGGACTGAGACGCAACAGGAAATTGGAGRAACAGACCAAAGAAAAAATGCAAATGAATTTGCTCAGAGCCAAGGGGTAGTAGACTCACCACTCCATGGAACAAAGACTCGGGGAATCTTCAGGAATTGAGGAGAGAYTTAGTTACCCACCAAGCAGCCARCCCCAGCCATCTAGTCAACACAGGGGACAGGGGAGGTGGTTGCACCACCAATGACCACATCACACCACTAATGACCCCTACTATACCTCAAAGTACAGAACGTTGTCAATGAACCTGCAAGGGTTGGTTATTTTTGATATCCAACAAACCATTCCAAATATGCTCCTTTTAATTCTATGACTTAGAGAAACATACCAAGAACTATATAAGAGCTATAGAAGCAGTAAATATAAAGATATATTTCTACCTTATTTTCAATTTATTGAAATGCTAATAATTATCTTCTATCAATATTATTTTAGTAATTTAGAAAACCACTGGATATATCCATTTTAAAGTTACCATCCTTATATCATAATTTGGTTGAAATAATATCTGATAATAAATGAAGGCTCATATCTAAGCCATATGTTTTTAAAAACTTAAAAAGGTTGGGTGGAATGGGAGGCCAATTTTATTCAGCACATCCACTCAAGGCAACATAACATTCACTATTTAATTTATTCCTTGTAGCATATTCAGGTTGGGAGAATACATACCAGAGGGTTTGATGCAAAATTGTAGATGTTTTCTGAGAGATAGTTATTATCTTGTCCACATTTTATGGCTAAGGAAACCAAAGCTCAGAGGCTTGAAAAACCCAGATGTAGAAGGGCCAAATGGTAAGGACAGGACTTGGACTCAGGACCCACTAGACTGCAAAGCCTCTGCTCCCAACCACTGAACTCCTTAGTCAGAAGTGGTCTCTAGAAAAACTACCCTTGCATTCCATTCTCCTTTGTATGCAGAAACCAGATAAGAAATGTAAAACTATTACAGACCCTGAACTATAGTTTGTCTCTACCTTGCTATGAGRAGTTACTTCAAAGTAACCTAATCCTTTCCAAAATGATGTTTCATGAAAGCAGATACCACTTTTCTAATGTGCAACAAACAGCGGCATAGAAGAAAACGTCCCCACTGACAATATCAATCAAGAATCAGGGCTTGAACCTGCCTGACTCTACCACATTGTTCTGCAACATCTGACTAACAAGCCTCAGAGCTGCAACTCCAAGTGCACCGTCTCTCACTTCTGACGTATACCCTTTTGCTGGTATTATRACCTTTTACATTTTAGTCACTATGACATTCCTTACCTAATATTCCTTTTAAATTTGAAATTGGAAAATACAGCAAATTATGACCCAACTTTTAAATGATCTCTTGATTAGCAAAATGATACAAGTAGAGAGGAAGAAAAGGTTTTAAAAACTCAAAATGTGCAACAGGTTGATCACTAATATAATGTGTATTTTGCCCTAGCAAGATTGTTAAATACCATTGGATCACCCTGGAAAATGGTGCAACATAATAATTAAGGGCTATAACTGTTTAATACAAAATTTTAAGTGGTTGGTTTCTCCATATTGCATGGCATTTGCAGGTGAGGGTCTGGTTGATCATTAGTACAAAAACACACCGGGCTTAAAAATGTTACATGACTACTCTCCCTATAGTTCTTGGAAGTCAAGAAGTCTAACTCCTGAGCATGAGAGTGAAGACAAAGGATGAAGAAGACAGAAAAAAAATATATGAAAGAATAATACATATTCCAACCCACCATGTTTGACATTAGGACAGGTCAACTTCCAAATACCACAAAAATATCAACCTCCATAATCCTACTGCTAGATACATCTTAATTCCAGATGTTAGGAATCAAAACACATCCCAAACTTCCCCTAAATCTGGATGCAAAAACTGAGTCCGCTCTGAAATCATCGTCCACACTTTCACCATTACTCGGTGCTAGGAGTAGGCACTGGAGGATGGGTGAAGGGTGAAGAACAAAGCAGCTCAGGACCTCACACCACACTCGGCTTGAGCATGAAACCTTGGGCTTACACGCCCTGCCTGTCCTACAGGTGGACGAGCAACAAAATAAAGATTCTCCACGTTTATAACTCATCCAAGGCCAGCAACATCAGGGTGGTTTTTATGAAGCCATCAATCTATGAATCTGGGAAACACCATCAGAAGCTGGTCAACTGGAAATGTAAATYTACACCAAACTGATAAGGTCTTGAAGATGAAATTAAATCTGTGAAACACTGGCCACTTATTCTTTGACCATAAAGCACARCCTACCTCCATTGGTCCTATTTGGTTGCTGATCTGGAGTTTGGGCTTGAGGTGAATAATACTGTTGTTGCTGGTAATTATTTGAAGGAAAATACTGGGAACTGGGGCTCTTCCTACAATCCCGAATGCTGGAGAAAGTCTGTGAGTGGGGAATGCCTCTTTGGAAAGGTGAACATCTTGGAAGACGGGGCTGAGGTGGTGGCAAATGATCAAATTCTTCTTCATCCTCCACACTGTATCGATCATACTCTTGATCGCTACATGTCCCTTTTTTTCCTGAACTCAGCGACACACTGGAACTRTGTCTCGACACAGATGCTGAAGTGGATGCATAATCTTGCCTGAGACCTATAACACAACAATAAATGCTGTTATCTTATCATTTCAGTCTCGCTAATAAATTACAATTAATGAAATATATGATGAAAATTTGTGMGAAAAAATTATTCAAATACAGACTCCTTATCTTCTTCTTGGTTAACAAAATACCCCCAAACACACTTACTTACCAAACAGATATCTAATATTAGGTAATTRGGTGTTTCAAAAAAGATTGCCCCAGTTTCAGTGATGATTAAATATACCTGCTATGGCTCTATCAATACATATTTATCAATTTCCCTAAATGACCCCCTTTCAAATCTGGAGATGTTTAAGTAATAAAATTCAGAAAAAAAAATATTCATCCTTAGTTTTCTATAAGTTAGAAGAAACTGAAATAGTCAAAACTCTGCTCAAGAAAGAAATCTCTATAGTCAACTTTCARAGTTGAAGGAAAAGTTTAAAACCCAAGGCACAAATATTTTCTAACAAGGGTCATCTCTCTTTTATTCTTTTTAGYTACTAATATTATCTCTTTCAAAGCCCACTGATGCTTCAATGCTTCAGTTTTAGGTCATCCTGCATGATAACGATCTAGAAATTCTCAAACTGTGAGTTGTTCATGATTTAACTTGAACCTTTTTTTTTTAAAGCAGTCTATCCCCAACTACTTAACTTCTGAAACTGACATCCAATCTTTTAGTCATATTTTTTTAAATGAGAATTTAAATTTATTGCTAATACTGATATAAAATAATTACTTTTCCCCTCAAAATGTATCTTATTGAATCTTGCAAAAGCATTACCATGTTTCCCATAATAGYCATGACCAATTCTGAAAGCAGGAAACTGATATGCTTAAATGACACTTGGCTGTTTCTGTTAACCTGAAAATACAATCCCAAAACAAGTTTAGCCCAGTTGTGTGACATAGATCTTATTGTGCCCTTTGACATTGTTAATGCTTTTGAAGTGGTTTACACCAATTGTTATAATTTTATTGCAGAACTAGTGATAAACGGTCCCATGTCCAATGATTTATTCTTTGACAATTATTTACCCTAAAGGTGTATCAATGCATTTTTAATTGTATGTTTAAGATAACTGTAGAAAAAGACCAATAGAATAGAGAAGAAGGGAAAGTGATGAGGAGAGGAGAAGGAGAGTATTGGGGACTGAATTAGAGCAAATGCTTTTATACTTATGTCAAAATGAATTCTCGTTAAGAATAAAAAAATCTTTGAAATTAAAAAATAGATAACCGTAGGATCACATATACTGGTAGGAAATAATGATTATACACTTTACCCAGTTTTCYCCAATGGTAACATTTTGCAAAATTACTGAAGAGCATGATAACCAGGATATCAACAGTGATTATACTCTGCCCATCTTATTCAGATTTTCCCAGTTTATTCATGTATATATGYATGTATGTATGTATTAGGTTCTTACAGTTTTATTAACTATAGCTTTGTATACTACCACCAGTCAAAATAATGAACAGTTCCAATATCACAAAAATCCTTTGTTTTATCTTGCTATAATTATATTTCCTCCTCCTCGTTTCTGAGATCCCACACCCCATTTTCATCCTCAGTAACTAATCTGTCCTCATTTCTAAAATTCTGCCATTTCAGAATGTCATATAAATGGAATTATACAATATGCCATCTCTTGAAATCATCTTTTTTCATTCAGCATGATTCCCTGAAGCTCATCTAAGATGTAGTATCAATGGTAACTTTTTATGGCCAAGTAGTACTCCATGTTATGGATATACCAAAATTTGTTTAAGCATTCACCTACTGAAGAGCATCTATATGAATTTCAGAGTTTGAAGCTATTGCAAATAAAATTGATAAGAATACTTATTTGYAGGATTTTGTATAAACATAAATTTCCAATGCTCTGGGATAAATGCTCAAGAGAACAGGCTACTRAGCCAAGAAAGCTGCGTGTTTTGTTTCTTAGGTAACTGCCAGCCTGTTTCCATAGAGGCCATACCTGCAACATCCATATATTAGTGTATTTTTAGTACAAGTGTGCCTAACTCCCTGGTGCTCTTATGAATGGAAGAAGCACAAAACAGCTTCACCTATAATGAAGGAAGATACATGAGAAAGATCCAAATTTCTTGCCCATTACCTGGGAGAAGTGCCTGATCTTCCCCCACCACTTGTATTTCAAGTGGAAACCTCACTTTCCTAATTTAAAAAGAACATACTTTCTTCTTGCAGACGAGCCATGATCTGAACATCAGTGAGGTCCTGTAATTTATATCCCATGGAGATGGAATCATCTTCCAGTTCTGAAGTACTCAGCTCACTATCAATAGATGACTGGGGACTGAGAGGGGAGCCCCTGGAGTTGTAACCTAAAACAAAGGAAATGTGCTTGTTATTTAAAGAACTGATATCCATATATACTTTACAGTTTATATAKAGAGTAGCAATATTTTTCTGTTTCCATAACATCACAAAAAAATGACCAACACATCACAATTCATCTTCACATACTCATATAATAAAACCATGTGACTACTGTTGCTTAAATTCATGTTTTAAAATTAAAAAACAAAATCACTCAGCACTGCCTACTAAAAAAATTTTAAGATGATAAATTTCATGTCATTTTTTTCTGTGTGTGGCACTGGGGAGCAAGCCCAGGGACTTGCACATGCTGGCAAGTGCTCTACCACTGAGCCACACAACCAGACTGTCAAGTTTTTAATCACAATAAACAACTCACTGACACAAATATCTAAAGGTATTGTATGAAAATACATATTTATGGACACTTTCAGTTAATCATACATGCATGTTTCTGTWCTGCTATAAGGGTTTATGTAATTTTTAATTATAATTTAATCCGGCCCATTCTTTAATAGGTGCATACAGTAGTATCAAAAATGGAAACTATCACATGTTAAAGGCACACATTCATAAAAAGGAACATACAAAACCCTCATAATATACACCAGTGAGTAGTCACGGGAGACTTGGAGCCACCCACAAAAGTGAAAAAGCAATGGCTTCAGATACAAGAACCAAAGAAGAAAGGACCCAAATGGAAGAAAACTGTAGGAATGGAACACACCAGTGCTGAGACAAACAAGGAAATGGTGAGACCTATGGCTATTTTTTCCACCTAGCCCCAGTTTAATTAAAAAAAATAAAACTCCCAGAAAAAAATTAAAAACAAAACAACAACAAAAAACAAAAACAAAAAACAAAAAAACAAGATATAAAGACTTGCAATCTTGGAAAATTGAATCATTATAAAAACTAGTTGTTTGACCCACTGACTATATAAGCACATCAGGCATTTGGAAACACACAACAATATGTGTGCTTTTGTAAAAGGGGAAGACAGTCTCCTACACACAATTGAGATCAGTGCTGTTAGAGTACATGTTAATGCTAGGCCTTTTGATATTGAAATAAGGATGCAGCAAAACTCTTCATTATATCAAGATTACCCTCAAACTTTTCAATGAAAGATGAACGTTTGAGTTTAGTGACTGAATTGCAAAGCAAGCAACTAGTCAAGAAGTTGAAATATTACCTGTTCTTTCAGGTGTTAGTATTGCTTTATTTGAGGTTTTAGAGAAGCTGGGAGTATTAATGCCATTGCTATAAGGGCTGAGTCTTGCAACTGGACTATAAGGAAAAGCCAGTGAGGCCGTTGAAGAGAAGAGACTCCGCCATCGGCTAGCTGTCACAGAAGCAAAAAACAGCAGCAGTTAGCTATATACAAGCAGATGTCCATTTGTCAAAAGGAAAAAGGGAAGAGATTTTTTAAAAGAAAGAAAAACAAATCAACTTTTCATAAGAATATCTTAATTGGTTTTCATTTATCTAAGGGAAAAATATGTAAAAATAACCAATTTGAGAATTAGGGTCCCATTTAAACATCCACTAAGAGAAAGCAAATTATTCTTACTTGGATTAAAGTCAATGCCTTCATGAAATAAAATGTATTTGAATTTCTAAATTAGAAACATTTCCCATTTCTGAATAAAGGTTTAAGTACTATAAAATAAAGTTCAGTGTCAAAAGAAAAACTAAATAAAAAAACTTGAAGACTTAAGAAACTGTGCAAAAATGTTCTAATATTAAMCATTCACAGTCCTATATTTTTAGGTTAATTTTCAATAAACACCACAACATGTTGAATAAAAAATCTTTTATGCCAATTTGTACTTGGGAGAAACTTAAAATGACTTGTACATCCAAATGACCTTGACCTGAAAATAAGGTTAATGGAAAAATGACAAACACACTAGCAGAAGGGCCTCTAAACCAAAACATTGTGACAGCGGTTTTACATGGCAATGCAGAGATGATTGGTGATTGCTTAAAGTTAAATATATATATATATATATTTCCCAAGTTTTCTGCATGGAATACATATTATTTGAATTTTAAAAGTGGGATTCTCAGGGCTGAGGTTGTGGCTCAGCGGTTGAGTTCTTGCTTCGCATGTGTGAGGCACGGGGTTCAATCCTCGGCACCACATAAAAATATATAAACAAAAAAAGTGGGATTATCTATGGTATTACTTTAATACTATTTTGATATTGAATTAAAATTTTAAAAAAGGAATTATACTTATAATGGGCAGGTAAGATAACTGTTAAATTATCTCATCTGTCCTAGTTTATTTCTCCCTCCCAAGATACCATCCCCTTATAATCTCTAAATTCCAGGACCACGAAAAAGATCTGAAATTGTAAAATCTTATGACACTGGACATCATTTACTGTCTCTTCTTCACATGGTATAAATCACTGTGTTAGAATGTTTTCTGAAAAGGAATCATTTAGACATCTACTATGCAGGACAGCAGGGAATACAGTAAAGGTACATATAAATCAGGTTAAACTTCGCTTTCAGCAATAACTTGGTTTCTATTTATTAGACAAAACTTGGAAGAAACAAGCATAAAATGAACTGCTTTGAAAATCATTTCCCAAGTCCCTTCTAATGAGCAACATTAAGGAGCAGTCCTACAGCTGAGAAGTACTTGAAAATGGGCAATGGGATGGGGAAAAATTGTAGGATGTGGAGAGTCAAGAAAATAATCAGCTGCCAAACTCAACCTCTTGAGAGCCTTGTAAAATCCCATCGACGTTACTTAAAACAGCAGAACATTTCCTTTTACTTTAGCGAGAACTCTTAAGGTAAGCACCATCACATTCCAATTATCTTTTCCTTACGTAGGTGAAAGAAGCCGGCGGGGATGCTTTCAGAATCCACATTTCATTAAGGAGACACAGCCACGAAGCCTGGTTCTCAATTGACGCCAGACATTTATGTCACATATCCATCCATAATTTATTGTGCTTAAGCAACTCTTCCCACTCTGAGCCACAGCAGACATGCACTCCCAGTCCCTCGCTTCTGTATAGGTCAACTTGACCARGAAATATACTGCAAAATAGGGGTTAACATGCAACACACACTAGGTAGCTGTTCTTGCATCCTCCATTTCCATTATTCAAAGTCTCTCATTAAATATTCTATATTTAAAAAAAGGTCAATAGTTCTTTGTGGCTGCTAACTTGCTTAACAGATGATGTTATTTTACATCAGTTTGATTGCTGGCCAGGCAAATTACAGTGACTGTGTGTTCTCACCCACAGATGCAGTGAACGACACATCACAAATAAACAGMATTCATTATTCTGCACAATAACTACTGTGACCCGGCTTCCCTGCACAATGACACAGTTATTGTGGCTGTGACAGCAAGATCCCGGCTAAGAACACAATTAGCATCTATTGCAAGAAAGAATGTTCTACATTGTTCTTCAGCATTGGGGTTTAAAGAAGAGGGAGGAGAGTTATTGTAGAGGCAAGCTCACAAAACAACGATGCTCTATTAATGCCCCCAAGCTTGTAGTGGAGGAGGAGAGGGGGAGAGGAGCGGAAGCATGCACATCCTCCTCACTCTTCACTATGTAGCTGAAGAATCATAACAGAAATTGCTTTTCTAAAGAAAAATATGAAAGAACTCTTAAAAAKGTGAGTTTTATCTTTTACATTCAATTAATTTAACTATTTTTTTCATATAAAGATGTTAAATTATTTGAGAGACACAAAGATGATCAAAATGACCACAGAAAGAGACAATTTTGCCAAAGGAGGAAATAAACTACTGAACAATAGCAATGAAAATTTTCTACATTCCTCCAAAGATCTATTTATAAGAAAAACTGGAAATGGCATGGATTTTTTTTTCCATTTAATTTTCCAGTCCCCAGAATTGTACACAGTTGGGCCCTAAAATAATAATGCACTGGGTAAAGGTATCATACTTGGCAAGGTTTTCTTTCCAACTGCCTCCCAGCACACTGAGCAACTGCATGCTCCAAGTTCTACTGCAATTTCCTTAAGCCACTCACCATCTCTCTCCATATTACCACTACCTGCTCTTCAAAAACCTGCATCTACACAGGCAGCAAAGCTGTCCTCAGCCAGCCTGAGTGAGCCCACCACCAAAGTTGTCAGTCATCACTTTAACTGTGTTGCTCTCATCCATTCAATGATGCAGTGGCTTCTCATTTATCCTCAGATCTTAACAGTACTTCACATCATCTCACTATTGCCCTTATCCACTGCTATGTACTTCATGTCCACCTTTACAGTTTTTCTGAAACTACTGTATTAAAAATACACTCCTGGGCTGGGGATGTTGCTTGCCCACTAAGTGATAGAGCGCTTGCCTAGCATGCATGAGGCCCTGGTACCACCACACTGCAAAACAACAGAAACAAAACACACTACTCTTACTGGTTAGACTTTCTACTGTCTCCTTGCCTGTTAAACATTTTCCACTAAAGTGAATGTAGTACGGGACTAAGCTGCAGACTGATAATTCATCTTTATGCAAAAAAAAGAGAGAGAGAGAGATTCAAAGTGCTTAATGATCTACTTATTAACTTTCTATATATCTTCAGAGTTGCCTACTTAAATTACAACACCTGTATATTTTTATTCATCATTGTATATCACTAAACTATGAAAAACCCCACAGATCTGATAAATGATAACATGAAGAAAGTAATAAGAATAGAGGGGACAGGACAGGTTTAAGAACCTACAGTTCTTTAATTACCCCCACCAAAAATTATTCTGTGACAACAAAAAAGTTCCCAGGAACTATACATTTCTACCAATCCTTGATCATCTTTGAGCCTAAATTAATAGTAAATACAAGAAATAGCAGGAGGAGTGGCACACATCTGCAATCCCAGCAAGGCTGAGGCAGGAGGATTACAAGTTTGAGGCTAACCTCAGCAACATAGCAAGATCCTGTCTCAAAATCTAAAACATAAAAATAAAAGAACTAGAACTACAGATGTAATTAAGTGGAAAAGTGCCCAACCCCTCACTATCTATCCCCTGCAAAGAAAGAAACTATTCAAATTTTGTTGAATATATGTATCTGCACATAATCAAAATCAAATTAAARTGATTTGACTTAATTCATATAAAAAAATTAATTGATCTAATTAGAATTTCACAATAACCCTCAAAAGATCAGTACTATATTAAACTGAAAAATGTTAAAAAATAAAGCAACATTTTAATATGTTCTGTAGACAAACCATTTTCACACTTTTTCCTCATTACAAAGACAATTCAGTATCTAACACATCTTGACACTGCATTCTCAAAACTTTGGCAAGTTAACTCCTTACTTCAAACCATCCTACCACTCCTACCTTGAATCCAGCTGCTTAAAGTAACCATAATTTACTATAATATCTGAACACAGATGTTAGTCTGGACATTTCAATCCAGCTGGGAAGCTTAGTGAAGATATCAACCTATGAGAACATTTCCTTGAAACTTCTAAGTAACTACTAAATTGTTGAAYTTTATCAATCTCAGTCTTATGACCTCCAACACTAAATGATTTTACATCACTAATGGCAAGTACCTGAGACTAGGGTAACCGACCCATCAAAATTAAACAGGAGTCAGTGTCTAGGATAAACTGGTTCCCACGATGCTGCACTGCACAAATAAAATGAAGGATTATGCCAAACCCATCAGCTGACAATCATGCAAGAGGGTAACAAAGAAAGCAATGAAGCTTCCTTAAAATCTTGAAATGCCACTGTTGTTTTTTTTTAATCGAAGAAATAGTTCCCAATGAYGATCATGGTTAGCAGAAGTTCTACACACTCTACCATCAATAACATATGCATCTCAGCTGCCTGGTTCAGTGGAAAGCCCTGGAGGGTAGTACTCTTACTTCTTCTAGTGGCTTCTCACAGAAGGCTCCATTAGTTATTCTAGAAAAGCAAACCTRATATTCTCTCTTTTTTCCCCATTTCTTACCAAAGAATAAGATCCTAAAAGGCAAAACTCTAATGTGCCATGTTCTGTTAGCTGTCTCTTGAATCACAGCAGGGGGTCTAAAACCACCATCCCTCCCCAAGGATGGACCWTCTTGGCAGTGTAGAAAAATAGGTCTAGGGCTGGGGTTGTGGCTCAGYGGTAAAGYGCTCGCCTAGCACGGGGGAAGTCTGGGATCGATCCCCAACACCACATAAAAAATAAAGAAAGAAAGATATTGTGTCCAACTACAAATAAAAAATAAAAATATTTTTTTTAAAAAGAAAAATAGGTGTAAAGCAGCYCTGTGTTTTCTTTCCCGGCTTTTAATGGTTCTGATAATAACTTATTAACAGCAAAATTTAG